CTTCTTAATCGTCTAAGGGATGAAGTTGGCATTAGGGGCACGGCACTGGATTGGTTCTCATCATACCTCTCCGATAGATCAGTTAAGGTGATGATTGGACACTCATCCTCTCCTTCTGCATTGCTCACCTGTGGGGTACCTCAGGGGTCCCTCTTGTGGCCTATCTTATTTTGTTTGTATATGCTCTCCTTGGGTTCGACCATGAGGAAATATAATATTTCATATCATTGTTATGCTGACGATACTCAGATCTACATTCCTCTCAACTCTGATCACTCTTATTCTGACCTTTTTAATTGCTTTGAAGATATTAAAGGCTGGACTGGCAGAAACTTTCTCCAACTAAATGAGAGCAAAACTGAGATTGTTGTCTTTGGACCCCCAGGTGCTGTCTCTGATATCACTATTAATCTAGATTCTATGTCATCAAACATTCATCCTTTTGCTAAAAACTTAGGTGTGATTTTTGACACTGATCTGAAATTTGAAAAACAGATAAGTGCTGTGGTGAAGAGCAGCTTTTTTCAACTAAGGCAAATAGCCAAATTAAAATCTATGCTCTCGTTTAAGGAGTTGGAGATAGTTACTCACGCCTTCATCACTTCCAGACCTGATTATTGCAATGCGCTTTATATGGGTCTCAATCATTCATCGCTGAATCACTTGCAGTTAGTCCAGAACGCAGCCGCGAGGTTGCTGACTGGTACTAAGAGGAGAGAAAGCATTTCTCCTGTCCTAGCATCTCTTCATTGGTTACCGGTGCAGCATAGGATCCATTTTATGATTTTATTATTTGTGTATAAAGCATTAAATGATCTAGCTCCATCATACTTGTCCGAACTTCTCAGCTATCAGCAATCCTCTCGCTCTCTCAGATCCTCTGATAAACTTTTCTTGCATATACCTCGCTCTCGCTTGAAATTTAAGGGGGATCGGGCTTTTTCTGTAGACTATGGAACAGCATACCTCTGGACATTAGATCTGCGCCTTCCCTTCCTGTTTTTAAATCCCGCCTGAAGACTTATCTGTATTCCTTGGCTTTTGGATGAAATGTATGTTTGTGTATGTTATTGTGTTTTTGTATTGATTATGTGTTTTTGAGTCATTTCTTTTTATTCTCTTAATCTCTATATTTATTTTATTTGTATATGTACAGCACTTTGGCATACACTAGCTGTTTTTAAATGTGCTATATAAATAAACTGACCTTTACCTTGACCTTGGTTATGAGCTGGTCCTGAGCAGGAGCTAGTTGCTTAGGACCAGGACCAGCACATGACCAGCTTAAACTAGCTTATAACCAGCTCAGGACCAGCTTAAACCAGCTCATGACCAACTACTAAGGACCAACTTAAACCACCTCCAACCAGCTGCCATGCTTCAAAACATACCTAACCAGCATTTGCTGGTTTTTTTCAACAGGGGAATGAAACCTCTGATCATTAAGATCATTGTTTTTCAACAGGGTCCAGAATACTGCAGCGTTTTTGAATAAATCGGTTGAATGAATGAATCAATGACTCACTCATAAAGACAGTCACCTGATTAGTTCCTAAGTAGGTCAACATTTTTGACTGAACTAGTTGGTTGAAGGAATGATTCAATGACTCACTAATAAAGACTTGTTTAATTCCTTAATGAATCAGCGTTTTTGAACAAATCAGTTGAATGTTTGACTCAAGTAACTTTCTTATAAACACAACCACTTATCAACTACTGTCACTTACTGGCATATTGAAGTAACATTCAGAAAGAGTCACTGAAAAATGACTAGACTAGACTGTCAATCTCTCTGGAACATGCAAACACAAACAAGTAGGGCAATACAAATGTGAATAGTCCCAGTCGGGGCTGGCTCCAGACATGAATTCACGCGCTGAATTCACGCTGAGCTTCAGTTTGTTGCAGAAAAGCAGAGGCATGACAACGAGCAAAAACGGGCAGAAATATATGCGCGCTATCACGGGAGTTATGGGAAGTTTAATAGGCTACATGAATATGTATCATAGCCTACCACTGAAATTACCTGAGCAATTTTAATGTTCTAAAAAACCCGCTCATTCAATAACGTGCATTCATTGCATGGACGGGGCAAGAGCATAATATAAGCGTCTAAAATGCATGTAGGCTATACAGTTCAGTTGAAAGCTTACCCCTTTTGGCTTGCTGTTAATGCTGAATGTAAGAATGAAAACTGAAAGTAAAGAACTTGTGCGATGAAAGTTGCGTTCGTTACTATAGCAACAGACTGTAAGAAACGTAGCGTTCCCCTTCTATGACGTAAATGACCAGTGCTGCAAACTATTCGAATTTTTATGTCAAATTCCGCAGTTTTGAATGGAAAGTAGGTCTGTCATTTACGTGATTCATAGCCTAATTCATAATTATGACAATTCAAAAATACAACTGAAATTGAATGGGTGCATATTTTAAAATAAAAATATTATTTGCAGTTCAGTTTGATTACTTTGCAAAAATTCCTATTCTTGTTCTTTTATTGTTCTTTTTTCTTCTTTTAATTTATTCTCCTAAATCCATTTAAATCATTTATTTATTTAGTTTCTTTAAATAAGTACCATTACCATAGAGGTCTGGTCTTTATATTTTCCTCAAAACAATTAGTCCCCCCAATGTTCTAGACATGATTACGGCCTTGTTTGGTATAAATAAAAAAGTTAGTTGAAAATAATCACCAGTATTGAAACAATGATCCAGAGAAAGAGAACAAAGAGGGCTTTTTTTGTTTGTTTTTTTACTATTCAATAAAGAAAAAAACGTTTATTTTGCTGTGAAAGTGCATGATATTCTAGGCTGCCCATGAAAGCTTTTTTCAGTGTACATATAATATAGTTAATATAGTTAATATAGCAATATCTACAGTATAAATATCTTCTAGACTATATGATGATATGATGACTAAAAAATGCCCACCCAGGATATCTGCCAGCCCACCCTTCTATAGCCGTCAAGAACCGGGCCTGGTCCCAG